GCGCGGGAGTTATTAACCAAAGAAAAATGAAAAAGCTGTTTCAAAAAGAAAACAAAAGTAAAAAGAAAGAAAAAACCCCTTTTTGTTCGCATCCGTACTTCGGGGCTTCCGGGGGATTTTTCCTCAGGGGTACGGCAAGCCGCGCGGTACGGGTCTGAGCTTATCACAAACGTGGGACTCGTAGAGATTCCACGAGTCTGATCTTCTGCCCCGTCAGCCCGTGACGTGGCGTGATCAAGTGTCTCCGATCCCCCACGCATACGCTAAGCGCCGAATGTGAGGAAGGAGTAACCAACACATTCGTTCTTCATCACCCAGGGTCTCTCTGGCGAACACACCATAACCACTGCTTGTGCCAGGCGTTTACACAATGTCCATAGCCAGTGCACGCACTAGCCACCGCCACCGCGTCAACCCCAGCTCTTGCACTGGCTCCAGCGCACTCGCCACAGGCAGCGCACGTGCCGGCTCCAGCGCTCGCACTCACACCATGTCTAGCGCGCTCATTACAAGCAGCGACCGCACCAGTCACAGCACTCGTGCAAGCCCTGAGGCCAGCAGTGTCAGCGCTCGCGCGCAGCGCTAACATACGCGCCATCCTAGCAGCCTTCCCCCATCAATGGGTGGAATCACTAATCTGCTGCATGGGACCACCCACCAATTTGTAACCCTTTTAAATTTAAACGTAGGATATCAATTCCACTTTGAGAACACCAATTTATAACCCTTTTGAATTTAAAACTTGGTAATCATTCATTGGGATCAGAGCAAAACTCTGATTTACGAATTTCAAATTAGGAATCGTGCTCAATAAAAATTTCCAGATCAATCAAGTACAGCTAAAAAACCTAGGATCACATGAATCAGACTCTACTTATTAACACATCACAATCATAAAGGCGAAATCGTTCAAAAAACAACCTTTGAAAACATATCAGAGAAAACAACACGATATCTCAAGAGGAAAAAATCATGACAAATCAAGGAACCAAGAGTGATACACAAAGGACACGGCCCCAATCACAGATCAAAACAGAGACGTTGCAGCAACCTCATGTGATGTCACCAAATGTTGAAGTCGATAAACAACTGCAGCCTCTGGCGATGTCCGCATCTCAAAATCCCGTGATGTCAACAGCTGAAGATGAAACCGCCACCTACCGCCTCTTTTGTGCTGAACAGACCGAGCAAAAGAACCTCCTCCTCCATTTTACATCAATCGATGTTGCCCCGCTGTCACTCAAAAGCCGCAAAACCTTCATCGCCCAAACTAGCCCCCTCCGTCTTCACGGGAGGAAAGCAAACTCCCCCCTCCCCCCTCTAGCCATAACAGCCTCGCCAACATGTGAAGCCCTTTCACCAGCGAACGAAGCACTAAACAGGCACCAACCCACCAAGCAGGAGATGTTATGGTCCAACCTCGTCGAGCCCGCCGACGAGTGCCATAGGAAGTTCAAGCTACCAAAAAACGCCACAGAGCAACCGTCGGGGCAAAAAAAGGGACAGGGGAAGGAAGGGGCCGTGTCCATCCTGCTTGTGGCGCGCCTCCTCAGCATTCATCTCACCACCACCATCTCCACAGTTCACCACCTGCCAAGGAGCATCTGCCATGCCCACCCGAACACCGCCACCCCACCTTCACCTTGCTTTCCAGACCCCAGCAAAACAGGCCGGCGGCGCCGCGCTCCCGGTCACGCCACGCCGCCGCCGTTATTCAGTACTGATGAAGCGCCCGGAAGTATCCAGAGGAGGTAGTTTGATATTGATATTGAATATTTAACTTTTTATTTTTTATTTTTTGTGGCAGGGTCTAATTTATTTTATTTTATTTTATGTTTTAAGATAGGACTGCGGCGTTATTCCTGGCTCATATGAATATGGCCCGCTTGCAGGTACAGGGGCAGTAGGATGTAGTATGAACCTGGACAAGTATAGGGGTTCGACGCTCATTTTGTTTTCCATCAGCTAAGTGCCGGGCGCACGGGTTCTGAGGGAAAGGAGTGGAGAACAGCTTGTAGGAAGAGTACTTAAACACATAGGTAGTAATATTCATCCTCAATCTGAGTGGAGTATGAGCAGAAAGGTCGAGTTGGCGCGAAGGAGTTGGTGACGCCATGATAGTAAAACTCACATCATCTTCTTCTATGCGTTCCATTCTTGGATATTGAAGTACGTAATCTTTTCTGTATTGTTCCAATTTTAACAGATGTCCCGAAGGACCGAACCTCTTTTTTCCGGTTGTGTGGCTTGCCAGAAATGCAGGGTGGAATTTTGTTGATCAGTCGAAGTTGTATCCAGAATCTGTTTGTTGCTTGCATCATCACCGCCGTTTTGCTTCCCTTCCAGCCTCCTACATTCCTGTCATTCTGAAAAAATGATCTCCCAGGGCCTGCCTATTGGATGCACCAATCCAATGGCTGACGGGAGTACTAGCCACCCTTTCTCCTTGGCAACACAGTTTTACTTGTCTCATGTCACATCCCTCAATCCTGTCCCCCTGCCGGTGGGACCACACCCCGGAGGCACTGTAACAACTTGAGAAGTAAGGAGTTAGTGGGTCATTTGTAAGGGGGTTGAGGAGGGGAAGGGGGGGGGGGAGGGTCGGAGGAGGCATCGGGCCGATGTCTGGATACCAACGGGTGTCTCCCAGTTGGCCACGGCC